CTCGGTCAAGTAGAATTTCACTGACTCTGAACCCCCTCCCCCGAACACGTGGTCCACAATCCAAACGTTAACACCTCCCTCCCCCAAAATCTCTAGTGCGACATCACCAGTCCTCACTTTTCATTTAGTCTGACGACAAACAAGTGATACCTGTTCGAAAATTCACGAGTACGACTCGATTTTCCGGAGATCTTCTTTCTTTTTCAACACATTTACAAGTGCATCTCGAACTCTATCATGAGGTGTCTTTTAACAGACGCTGACTTGACGACTTCTCTCTTACTCCGGGAAGTTGTGCTTACTTGAGAGCCCTTATTGCTTCCATTAAAGGTTGGATGTCGGGAAATGAGCACACAGTCCTTGCAGCTCTCGTTGAAACAGTTTCAGGGGAACCCAGGTCGGTTTAGCATTAGAAGATGGGGTCCGGTAATAGATACCCCGTGATACTGGGGGCTTTGCGCTACCTTTCAGGAGGGTCAGGGTTACGAGGTTTAGTGTGGGGATGCAAATTTAGACACGGAAATAGGCATTCCCTAGAATTTAGCGTAGGGTCAACTATATAAAGGGGAAAAGTACTTATATCCATTTCCATTCCAGTAAGCCAAATAACAACAGCTAAATATTCGTTTGCATAATGAATTCGGCAGACAAGATGTATTGATGGAAATATTGTTTGAGACTGACACGTCCTAACCTATGAAAACCACTCATATATAAGCAACTTGTTGGGTGAGTAAGGAAACATCTTTGGAGAAGTGTTTGCACAGAAGCCAGAAACGTCTTCCTACCAGTACACGCAAGGATCATCATACTCGGTAAAGCAAAAAAATGACTCAAAGTAAGCTGCACAAATGGGATTTATCTTAATTGGACTCCTGAATTGCGAGCTAAATTACGAGCATTTCCAAGGCGGCTAACTGACAGACGCAGTGATATACAAGGTGGACAGCGTTACTAGGGGGAATGTCTTTAAAAGCAGAACCCTGTCAAAGTGACTCACCTTTAATATTCACGCGTACTAATTTTCTGTCATCGCGACCGGACTCCGTGAGGACAGAACAGATGTACAACCCGGAATCACGTACTGTAGCTTTGCGGATGAGCAACCGACTCTCACTTGATCCAGGTTCACTCACCGCAACCGGACTGGGCAGATTATCGGAGTTGCTGCGAATTTCACTGGCCGAGACGGAGGGGAATACAACGAAGGCCATATTCGAGAGCCGAATAACTTCCTGTTCGGGATTTCTCTCTACATCTGCACTCTCCATGTCGATGGTTTTGCCCCACTTCATAAAGAAACAGTTAACTTCGTTTAGTTTGTTATTTTCAAAGTTGATACCTGTAGACACTCGCTCATTGCTATTAGTAGTATTCGTTTTAATAATACTAAATTTAACATCTACTTATTTTTTTTGGGCAAATATGCCGGTAAGTATACACGAAAAGAATAAAAAATGCAACCGGAACGAGCAACCAGAGATATTACCTCGATCGCAAAAAAAGTAGACTTCCTTAGACACTGTCCTCTACATCCTTTTTAGGAGTCTTTGGGTAAGATTGATTTCTATGGCTGCCTAGACAGGACATGGGAAGAGCAATCGCCCACAGTACATGTGGCTTTGCACCAAATTCCGGAAAAATTAGGTTCAGGATTAAAGTGAATGTTGGCGTCAACTTTAGGGTTAGATGTAAGGTTCGGGTTAAGTTCAGAGTTGGGGTCATGGTTTTGTTAAGGGTTCATATTAACTGTAGAGTCCAAGTTTGGGATAAGGCAAGGGTTAACATTCAGTTTGCACTTTAGTTTTGTGTTGGGGTGAATGTCAGGTTTCAGCCACGAGTATATTTACCCGTCCCGAAATGTATCGTAAGGCCAGCTATTTTAAGTGGGCAGGCGGTTTTTTTTTCCGTGTCCTGTAAGTCACCTTACGATCTTTTTTGCAATTCCATGTACTAACGAGCATGGGCGAAAAATGTTGCTTTGCCAGGAAATGAATCGAGTAGTCTGTTTGCATCTATGAAAACCAAAACAATTCTTGTTACTTTAATGGCTTATCATACGAAATCGTCTGCAGTGAAAGATCAAAATTAAGGTTTTATAAGTTCAGGATCCCTAGTAGTGCCGCAATCCGCTATGTTCCAAAACATGAGAGGGTAGGGTACGCTTATAAGCGAGAAGTAGATATGATCGCTGGGTCAAGCATTTTTTTGCCTTACGATTTGAAATCGGCCGTGGATCTATAATCAGAGAGACAATAGCAAAAATGGGTTATAAGCATCACCCGTATTACAGATGACTCAGCTCTGAACTCCAGGGGAGGGGCGAGTTGCATTTGTTGTTGGCCTAAGTTGACCAAAAGCATTCCAGGAAACATTTCAGAAGACGATATAACCCCTCGAACATGACGTACTCATGTGGTCACGTAGTTATGACGGCCTATACATAAT